CTTTCTTTTGCCTCCTTCAGTGCATAGTGTTATTTATAAATAAATGCATTTAGACAGAAGTTTGAAAATTACAGCAAAACAGTTTATTGAAGAAATTGAAGGTGAATATGTGGAAAATATTTTCATGTAAATTACATGAAATGACTCTTAAATCACATAAAGATAAAAGGGAATGTAAGTTAAGTTTAAACACTTTTTTGTTTTCTTTTCCCACTCTTGCCTTCTTACATAATTCTTGGCAAAAAAAGGCCTTCTCTCCTTGTGCTCACTGGTTTTTTTCAAAATTCCTCTTGGAAATAGTGTCTGTAAATCTTTCCAGTGGTAATTCACCGCATTAAAAATAGATAAGCTTAAGAGCTTGCTGTGCTTAAAGTCTGAATATTTACCCATGTTAGGATGTTTGAATGGCACTGTGTCTGATTTAGATTAGATGTGAATTATGTCATCTTCTTAGCTCAGTATCAAATAACATTGCTATTTTTTTGATACATGGCAACTAGTAAGTAAAGCTATTATTCAATATGGAAATGCATATTTTCAGCTATCTAATGTACAGCCGTACAGTTAATGTTTCATGATTTGCCAACACTTCCCTACAAGAGGATCTGAGATATTATCTTTACCATAGGAAATAACAATGGTGTCATTGTTTTGGTTTTTTTTTCTTCCTACCATAGAGTTATGTGTGATGTAATGTTTTTCAAGACATTAAGAAATGCAATAGTTATCAGAATACTACATAAGCACTATTAGCAATACATAAAATGCCACTATAAAATTATATTAGGGTGACCCTTTCTGTAAACTGTTCACTTAGACACTGTTTTGTATAAGCTTTAGAAAAGGGCATGGTTAGTCTCTCAAATAATAAAAATAAGGAGATTTTTCAAATTGCAAAATACATCTGAGTTGAAAAGTATTGTTACATTTTATTTTTTGTTCATGTTTATTCTTCCTTGTAATTTTTTCCCTCTAATCTTTACACACTTGTTATAACTCATGAACTGTAATAAACAAACTTAGTAACTAATCAAAGCATATCTATTAAAGTAAACTTCTTAATGAAACTTCTTAAAATGTGGCAATCTGGTAAAATCTGTGTCACTTTTGGTAATCCCTATACGCATACTGCTGTATGTGTTTTATTTCTGATTTAATATACTACTGCTTTGGTATCAACTGCATATACTTCCTTTTGATCTGTAACAAGCACCTAAATGTGATAGTCCCTATCACAGTTTTTAAAAAGTGCCTTCATAGGAATATATCTAAAATTTACAAAATGTATGCAAAATTACAACAGAAAATCAAAGCCGGAAATGTTTCACCATGTACTAAATCTAGCCCTGCTAAAATGTCCAGCATGCTTTTTAACAAATGCACAAATGAAGATTTTTCTGAGCATCTTTGCAAACACATTTACTGTTTCTTTACCTTTTATAATTCAGTATCTTGGAGAGACAAAAGTATCACAAACCATAGTCCTGTATACCCATTTGTATAAATGGATGTATTGATGCTAATTATAAGTGAGGATAGCACATGGATACATTGCTAAGGAAGCCTGAGCTGGAATCACTGGATCTTCCTGGGGCACTGAATACTTCTCCCCTTGCACTTTGTTAGCTTGTGCATGTGCAAGCCAAGACTTCTTCCTCTCTTGCCTCTTATTTACAAGGAGAAACAGAAGCCCTCCCAGTGCTAGCTATCCTTTTGACCTCATGATCTAAGGTCTAGGCTAAACAACAGAAAACTTCAGTGATTCCTGTATTTGTCTGTGCTGATGTGTTTTGCTGTATCTATCTGAAAAATATACTGCTAGGGCTTTTTTTCCCTTGATTAGCCACATGCAACACAGAAAGGAATGGCATGCAGAGAAGTTTTTAAGCAATTCACTTCAGGTGCACACAATATGTCATCTATGTTATTTAGTATTTCAGCATATTTTGCAAAACATATTTCAAATGTTTAATTCTGTAAGTACACAAGTAGTATTTGCCTGAAGACTTGCAACACTATCCTAAAGATTACAAAGGTGATGGCATTTTATTATAAACATATGCTTTCTTTTAAATATGAAGAATACACTGAAAGTTGGGCTTTCTGGACACTTGGACTCATCCTGTTATGATTATATGAATTCTAAGCAAAATGTAGATGGTAATATGATGGACTGGTTCATTTAATTCTAGTACCCTTTTAAAATTATGATTTTATTTAATCTTCCAAGATATAGCCAGACTAAAATAAAATATATGCCACCTATGTATTTGTAAATTTTCGCTGAGCTACATTATTCATAATTTGAAACAACAGTGATGTGCAGGTTGGCTGTTCAACTGATGAAGCTTGCATTTTGAAAGTAATTCATGATGGTAATCTCATTCACATTCACATTACTTGAACTGGCTAGTTGGATTTGTACCAGTTACTATTGCCAAAACAATTGTCACACATTTTAGATATGCTAGTAAAAACATGTTCCATTTTGGGCAAATTTTTGAATAGTAAATGTTGACTTTTTTTCCACTTGAACACAAACACCTGATTTCTCATCCCATTTAGAATAGCAAAGTTATGTTGTGGTCTTCTTGCTTACTGTCCAGTAGTCTTTTAAAAAAACAACATTGTCCCCAGACTTAAGCGTAAGAGTGGAAAAATTTCTAAATTAGATGAGGGACCAGGTGTTTGTCAAGCTCATTTCATAGATCTTTAATTCATGGATACTGTTAAGCGAATGCATAGAAGACATTCTTATCCTCATTGGACCTGCTTAAATGCTTTAAAAATAGACTACTTTTTGATAAAATGATAATGTAATGTATTAGTAATAACTTGTTATAAAGTGAACACTAAAGAATGTCCAAACTGGATGACATTGAAGATTTTTACCAACACTAACGTTTAAGATTCAATAAAATGTGCTGACAAGTATGAAGTCACTATCTTTAAAAGGAATCTGCTGATTTATTGTTAAGCTTCCATTAGCCAAGACTGCTAGATTTCTGTGTTATACCTCCAGCAATAACTGTTTTGAATGTATTCCATTTAGCATTTTCAGTTGTTGTCCTTCTAAGCAAACAGCTCCTCTACTTAAAAATACGCAACAAATCAAATTAATTAAAATGAATCAATTCGACTGGTAAAGTGGTGTTTTGGAATGACTCTGAGGACCATAAATTCAAATTAAGCCTTGCACAACTTCTTCCTAGGTTTGAAGAGGCTCCTTGGTACATTAGCAAAAGGAAAAAGGGAAACTAGTCACCCTGTTTAACAGCATTCACCTGGGACGCTTGCAAAAGTAACTGTGCTGAGGGCTCATATAGCCAGATTTTATAAACATATCATAAACCAGAGAATGAAGCAGATAGATATAATAGCAATTAATTGTACCTAATGTTAATATTCAGATAAGGTTAAGTATGATAGTAGTCATATATGTGTGGAGTAATAGGAAGTTAATTATTGCAAAACTTTGATCATGGCCATACAGTGTCTCTAATTTTATTCATAGTATGCTTTGCTTGTTCTGATACTTCTTCACTCCAGGCAGTAATGTGGGTTGTCAGATTCAGTTTTTAAGGTAAAGATATGATGGACATATGCTAATTTATACATGTTCATTGAATGTATTTTTCCAAACTGTATTTTAACAATCATATTTTACTACAGAGCACTTGTTCTTTTTCTGGTTTTAGTAAGCTTCTACATACAGTTACAAAAAGTGCACACCATGCTCTATTGCCAATAACGATTGTCCTCTTTTTGCAAATATGATGAATGCAATATACTCTTCCCACCATTATGTATTATATTTGATTTATTCACCAATCTAAACTTGTATATGGCTGCTGGTTTTTGCAGTCTGAATGAGGACCTAACAAGTGTGAGGACAGGATTAAAGTATTGCTCCTGACACTAGTTTCCTAAAAGCAGTCTTTGTTCTGCTGCTCCTTTACATGTCTTCTACTTTACAGGATCGTCCTATGGCTCATTTATAATCTACTGGATTTAATACTTGAAAATATGATTTCTGTATTCAGTATTCATGCTTTACCTTTTGTCTTCAGCTGGTCTGAACTGGGAGCCTACACTTTATTATCTGCTTAGAACAGAAAGAGATTAATATTAAAGGAATATCAAACTCTTAAATATCCACAAAAATTGTAAGATAGAGCCACATTACTGAGCATTATGTAGGCATAATTAGAGTGATACAAAGTTTAGCTGACTGTGTATCAGCACTATTTCTGCATTTATTATCCTGATTTTCTGCAAGAGAATACTGTGTGACTCTTAAGGTTTTATATTTAATTAACTACTAAAGAAAAGCAAAATCATCTTCATATTCTTTTACTTTTTCAGTTTTAATGGTATTAGGACTTTATCCTAAACTAGAATTAAGTATTCACATGGAGAAAGGGAAGAATCTGATATGTTGTTTATTTCTTGGTGTGATAGGTATACCTGATGGTTAAAGAAACAAAAAGCCAATCAGTTTTGTGGTATTTTGTAATATAGTATTGTCACTGCAAGAGAATGGTGACCATTCACATTGAATATCTGGGTTGGACATCATGTGGTGTTTGAGTTTTCACTGCAAACTTAGAATGCTGAGAGCATCTGCTTAACTTCCAAAACACTTGTTAGCTCGTCCACTTTTTCTCTGCAAGTTTTACAAGACTTCCACCTCTACCAACGCGTGTGATGATATAAAACAGAAAAAGGAAGTACTATCACAATAAATATAAGTAAGATTTTGTGGTAGTTTTGACCAATTTGTGTCAATTGCCTCACGGCCATGCCAGTTGTGTGGGGCAAGATTTTTGGGGGTTGTATTTTGTATGATTCAGTAGTCTCAACTGGTGTACCCCACCATTGGGGGGAGCAATGAATTGATAGTAACAAGCTTTGTATTGACTTGCTTATTCTAAAGATTGGTTTAAAACACATCAAAAATTAATAAAATTATTAAAAATAAAAAGTTCTTTTTCTTTCAGGTGGGAGATGAAAGAAGGTGCAGATCTTGAAGATGAGGAGAAAGTGATGGTGGAACACTTAAAAAATGTTTATTTGACACAGAGCACTCCTACCTCGGAGGATAAAGAAGAATAATTACCTTGACAGGTTTTGGGTAGCACCTTTTTCTGAATGCAACATGATTAACTTAATGGCTTAGTTATAACTGACAGGACTAGAAAGCTCAGGAATATATATCTTGAGTAGGAGTTTTAAACTAAAGAATGTTCCCCTGTTATTGTCTAGTCACCCCATCCAGGCAGCAAATGCATAAGGTGAGCAACAATATATGAAAATGTCAATGTCACAAAACAAGGAGGGTGTATTTCAATACTGCGGAGGCATAAACCTGAATGACAAACCAAGAATTGTTTTAAAAGTGTAAATCTCACTCTGAAAATAATGCAACTTTGGACACGTGCTAAGCAAACACCCAAGCTATGCTTCCATCAACCATTTTGGAGTCAGAGTCAGCCTGCCCGTGTTTAGTGTCACTCAAGGACCTTTTCTGCCCCTCAGTGCTTGTGTTCTAGCTAGTCCTGCTCTTAAATCACCCAAAATGTATGAAAAAGGACAGGTTATAGGCCATAGGTTTGCAGTCCTTTGTGAGTTGCTCCAGGATGAGTATGCTTGGTCATTATTTCCAAGCAAAACTGCATCAGCTTTATTGACCTCACAAATCCTAACTTAATATCCAGTGTATGTTATGGCTTGAAAGATGAATAATAGAGAAACTTGTTAGCAGCTTTTAAAGTTTTGAGAAGCATCTTTTTTTTTAAAAGACGTATTCACAGGCAGTGCTCAAAGGACTATCTTAACATTGAACTGACAAGAGAAAATGATAGAATGCAATATTTATTTCTGATAAATACAGTAAAATTTCCTTTTCAAAGTAAGCCCTGTCTGATATTCAGATTTTCCAAATATTAAATGTTTTTCTCTTTGGTAAAAGTTCTTCCTCAAAGACTAAAAATAGCTGAGTTAAGTGGCTATTGTGACAAGATTTTTTATACGGAAGGTGTGGTTAATATTTCCTTAGCTCTACAGAAATAATCCATCATTTTTCTATTTGTTTCTTGCATTGGAAGTCCAAGGGAACTATTTCCTCTGCCTGATGAAGGACCCTGGCAAGATCTTGCTAAGGCTGCAATCTGAGCTGCAGCTATTCCTGTTCCCACCACATCTTCTCACAGATGCTATTATGGACATAACTCAGACCACTTGAATAGGAGGAAGGCATGTTTTTTTCCTAAAGACTTCAGCAACAGCATGGGTAACCATAATGCTAATGCTGCTGTAGGGTCTAATCTGAAATGCAGTTTTTCCTCCTCTTAATTGCTTTTTTTTTTTATTGTGCATATGAAATATCAGACCATTTAAAATGAAAATGGGGACCACTGCATCTTTCAAATCTCCAAAGATCTCGTTACAACACTGCAACAACAAAAGGGCTGTGAGGCACTGGTGCTTCAAAAATGCTAAAAATATTATTTGAAGAATAAACAAGACTTTTTCTTCTGCTGCTGATATAGTCATTTCAGATCATAAAGAAGTAATGAAGTGTAAAAACAATTTTTCTTTGCTTTGTATTTCACCTTTGAAGATTAGTTGTGGTCTTAAGGCTTAAAACATGGCTACAGGGATTGCCTATGATGGCAGGGATGGGATTTTGACAAATGGGGCACACATGCTCCAAGCCATAGTAATAATGTGTCAGTGCACGTGGAAGCTGGAGTTTGGAATATTCTTTTCATGTATTTTATCAAAATCTATTGTACATAATTAACTTTTTGTATAGTCACATAAAGTGAATTTCTGTCTATGTGGTGAAACTGACTGAAATACTTTTTGTGAAAAAGCTCCCCTTCTGGGAAATACTTACTCTGAATAGGATAAACTTTGCAAGTGAAATAAGCTAACCCAGAATAAAAACCCTCACTTACTCTGAAATGGGAATGTCCATATGGGGAGTTATTCCAAACTGGTTATTATCCTTTAAATTCACAACAGACCTCGTTCTGGAATAATCTGTAAACAGTCATGTTAAAAAAAAAAAAAAAATTCTTTATGCCCCTTCCTCCCTTCTCTCCCTGCCAAATTAATTCAGCAGTAACCCACTGGGTAGCACTAGGACAATTTTGTCTTTCTTAGCAAGAGTGTATTTATAATCTTTACCAATGTGGAGCTGACAAGACAGAATAACTAGCCTGAATAAAAGCTGAACCTTTGCACAGTATTTTATTTGGATGTTTTTCTTATCCAAACCTCTCTCTCTCTACACATCTTTTAGAGTATCTGAATGCAAGCTAATGTGTATTTGAAATTGAACTTGCCCCTCAATCCTTACTGAGAAATAGCAGGGCTCGGTTTGTGGGCAATGTCGTGATCCTATTAACTGACCTTCAGGGTATAAAAGAAACATCATCTTGGCAACATCACTTATGCTGAATAGATACTTTTGCAACATTCACATTTGTTCAATAAAATTACAGTAATAATCAGAGTTGTATAACTAAGATTGCTAAATAACATACCATTAATTTATCAAGACTGCTTACTTTAAACTTAAACCCTTAATTGAAGAAAAATGAAAGACACTTGAAAGAGCTGATCATTTTTACATTGTAAGGTGTGTAAAATTAGGATTACTTGTATAACATGCTGCTATCTTTGGCTTTTCTTAATAAAACAATTGTTCTATATTCTTTAAAAAGTTCTGCTGATTCTAAAATTGACTTAAGATTAATTTAATTTTGGACAGGAATGGGTTCATAAAGCTGCAATGTTTTGCTTTTGTATTTTATGTCCTGGCTCTTTGTCAATACTTCTTGATCAAAGAATGTCTCACATTTACATTTAGCCTCAATAAATGAAGGCAACAGGAGCTAGATTTGCTGGCTGCAGTGTGGGCTCTGTATTGCATGACCACTGCAATCTGACCATGTTAACTGCTCCTGGAAAGGTAGTCAAAAATAAGGATTAAAGTCCGTTGTGTACAACAGACCTTTCTGAATGGGCAAAAGCCATCCTTGTGGCTCAGCTGAGTTAGCTTAAAAGGAAATTATTACATTTATAGAAATAAATTTGATCAGATAGCACAAACTAAGCAACTATGCATTATCATCAATGCTTACACCCAGTTCTCATTTAACATTTTAGTATGCTTAGCCCTTTTTATGAAACAGGCTTAAAGGGGAGACTTCATGGCATGGAATATCTCTTAATTACATTTGTTTAGTATGCAGTTCAGAGTGCTCCAAATCTTAACATCTTGCTACTTTTGAAATACAGTTAATAAAATCAGAAGCAGGGCAAAACTGAGATAGCATTAATAGTAATGCTGGAGAAAGATAGGAGAGAGAGAATTTTGGGGGAAGACAGGCATTAAGACATAGCCCTGCCTTTTAGTGACTGCTGTCCTGACAAACAGTGTCCCGTAGATCATGCTTTATTCCAGGAGCAGGCTTTTGTGGAGACCACAGGCAATAAAGCTATTTGCTCTGGAAATATGCACGGCAGCTAATGGATGTTCTCTAATTCATCTCTACATCCTCACAGCAGTGCAAGGTAGGCATGAGGCTGGCTTCTTCCAATTAGCTTCCTCTGACAGAAATATTCCATTTCCCTCTCAGCTGGGAGGTCTTCACAAAATACTACTGAGTCTTACCTACAGTAAGATACCAATTATATGCTGATATAGAACTATTTTATGGAACTCCTTAAAAATATATGCAATCATTTTTAGTGACAGACACTATTCAAACTTCCAAGGCAATGGTCGAAAGACTGAGGAATTAGACCCATTGCCCAATTAGGCATGAAATGAGAAAGTAACCTGATGGCAACGGGGAGATTTCTAAGCAAGCATATAGATCTTGAGGAGGTCCTGGCTGGTGCAAAGCTGCTTCTCTCTAGTAACTGTCCATGTTGTAAACAGTGGTATGAGTGGAAACAGAAGCTTTAAAACTATTGTAAGTGTAAGGCCCAGGAAATGGGCAAGGGTGAAATTGCTTTTTCCTCTACCTTTGGACTCCAGCACCTGGGAAGCAGACTAAACTGACTGACATTGCCAGGCAGGCAGTACAAGAAAAGCGTGTGAGGCAGATTGGGTATCACTGAGGGCCTTGTAATACCCATCAGTAAAATGATGAAGGAACCAGATTATTCCTGTCTAGCAATAGCATTTGAGAATAGACTGTTAGCTATTATTGCAGCATGTGAAACAATGACATAGAGCTGACAAAAAACACTCTGAAAAGCAAGGAATCATGCAAACAAGCAAAAATAAATCCAAACCCTTTTTTCTTTTTCCTGAAAAAGTGATTCTATAACAAGTGTCTCAGGAAGAACTGGCAGTTACCAAGTAATAATGACATAAAGTCATCATCTGAATTAAGATTGTATGTCTAAAGTTAGCAGGCTGACAAGAAGCCACTCAAGTCATGGCTAGTGCAAATCTGATGACTACCAGATTGAGTCTTTAGACCCAATGACAACTTCAGCTGTTAGTAGGTTGTAACCATCTCTGAGGAGATATTTCATATCTCCTACTGAAGAAAGTGTTTTAATGTCAAAATAGCTCATTATCCAGTTTCTGCAGTAAATTGAGCCAAGTTCCAACAAACAGTCTCAGCGTCTACACAGCCCTGAGTCACATCCATTCTGTGTCTAGAAATGAGGCAATGAACCGCATGATGGTGATCACACTCAACAGGTATGATCTTCTCCAGTTGCTAGCTCAAAGGGCATGCCACGTCTGCCATGACAAACTCAGGTTTCAAACTTTGTTCATGGTGGAGGTCTGCTGCAACAGCACATAACTTTCTCTTTTCAGGCCAGCTTTTTAGAAAAATATTCTCTTTACAGCTCTCCCAATAAATAAATAAATACATTGATTAAAATTACTCTTGTAAAACAAGCACTCAGTCATTAGAAAACACGTGATGCATGATTACTAATGCACCCATTTGTGTTCCTTAAGATAACTGTTAATGACATGGTCATATATATTTTGTCCCTAGATGAATTCACTAGAGCACAGAACTATGGTTACACAAGCAACTTTGGTAAATTTGTAATTACCTAACAGCCAACTA